CCCCGCCCCCCCCCAGCAGCCCCAGGGATAGGAGTGAGGGTTCCTGTCCAAAGACCTGGGAACCCAGGGCCGCTGGAGGTACTTGCACTGCCCCAGGTCACAGGACTTGGGTGTGGCAGCGCTGGGCCTTGAACCCTGCTCTTTCTAGGCCCCCGTCCTTCCCCCGGTGGGAACCCAGGTCAGTGGCAGCTCTACTCCCAGAGTCGCCAGTGGGGCCCAGGGCTCAGGCAGGAGAAAGTCTCCAGCCCACTGGCTGCTCTGCCTCACTTGGGGTCTCTCGAGGGGGTTGCTCAGAGCCGGGGTCTGGGAAGCGGAGAGGTGAGTTAGCGCACCGGGGCAGGGAGGCAGCCTTGCTCAGCACACCTCCGGGAGAGGGGCTGAGGGTGACACACCGTGGGCTGGAATCCAGGTGCTGCTGCTCGAGTGACCTGGGACAAGTCTCTCTTCCCCTGAGCCTCAGTTTGCTCATCCAGAAATGGGTGAAACCCCTGCTCTGTCAGTGTTGGGAGGCTCAGGGAGCCACTGCGCCTCAGGCACCTGAACAGGGCTTGGCCCTCAGGTGTCCTCAGGAGCAGCCACTGTAGGGACTGTTTGCTGGTGACCTGCTTGGGAAGTGAGTCTGAGGAATGTAAATAATGCAGTACCACTGGCTGACGAGGGGGAGTGTATTTGTCGAACTTCTAATTCTGTCGAGTTGTTTTAACTGCGTATTATCTTCTTTACACCTTTTATTGTTGTCAGTCTCCTGCAATGCAAGTGTTTTGTAAACAGAACAAAACAGATGGCATTTCTTTCTAAAGATGGGTGAGAATTCCAGGGAGGGCCCTCTCCTGATCCAAAAGTAGCAGGGAGGTGCTGGGGGCACAGGGAGGGACTTGCCAGGGCCACACAGCTGTTAGTGGCAGGGCCTGACCTCCTGGGGACTGCCCAGGCCCCCGCCACCTCTGTGCTCACCGCTGCTTAACCCCCTTTTCCAGGGGGGTCATTTGTAACCAGCGTTTGACAAATGCAGATTCTGTGTGTATTGTGGTTTCTGGTGTTTGTTTTTTATCTTTTAAAAACCTTCCCCGACTTGTGGGAGGACCGTCTGGAGCCAGCGGCTGCCGGGACTTTGGTGGACGTCGGAGCCCTGACGAGGAGGCTGATGGGGCTCCCGAAGTCTCGGTCCCAGCTCATCCTGTTCCTCAGATTCTTGTTTGCATGGGGAGGAGGGAGGAGATGGGCCAAGTTCCCTCTGCCTGGAACGCCCTTCCCCCCCTTCTTCACCTGGCGAACTCCTACTCGTCCTTCAAGACCCAGCTCCAGCGGCATCTCCTCCAGGAAGCCTTCCCTGATTTCTCAGGCTTTTGCCTCTGCTCCCTTGTATCATGTGCCTCTCTTTTTCTGTCTCAGCAACTAACATGCAGCGTGTGGTGGTTACTTTTCGAGTCTGTCACCCCCAGCAGACTGTGAGCTCCTTGAGGGCAGGGACCAGTGTCATGTGCCTGTCTGTGCTTAGTGCTCTGTTCCCCTGGCCCTGAGTGGGTGTGGAGAATGTTTGGTGAACTGAGCAGTGTGGTGAGAGGAGAGGAGAGGAGGGGATGGAAGCATGGACCACTTAGCTGTAGCACATCTATGAAAGAACACTGGGGGTGACAGGGATGGGGAAGGAATTAGGGTGAAGAGCCCGGCCTTAGGGGGCGGAAGACCCGAGTTGCAGTCACAGTTTTGCCACGATCCTGCCCGATGATGTTAAAGTTGCCGCCACCTTAGTTTGCTCATTTGTCTGATGGGGTTAATGCTGGGTCCTGTCTGGCGGGGGGGCTGTGGATTCACGCGCTGTGGCAGGTGCTCCAGCGGCACCGGCAGCCAGTCTTTGCACTTAAACCCCCCACCCGTGTTCGGGGCCCTCAAGCGGCCAGAGCTGGCGTCCAGGCCGCTCTGCTGGTCCCCGAGCGGAAGCCATCTCCGGGTGCCCGCTGAGCCCTCAGGAGGGCAGGGCCGGCGACCGTAGCCCGAGTCCCCCCTCCCGCCAGGGGCACCCACTTGGAGCTCTGGGTCGGGTTTCGTTTGAGGGCAGGAGGTGGGTGGGCTTTGGGACCCCCCCCC